AGCCCCTGAGATAATGGAATACTGCTATCATGTCCCCCCTCATCCTTCTCTTTGTTAAACTACATACCCAATTCCAGCAACTGTTCCTTATATGTTTTAGCCTCCTATATTCTTGACTTTAGCCTCCTATATTCTTGACTTTAGTCTCCTATATTCTTGACTTAGCTCAACAAAACAAACAAACAACCAACCAAACCCTAAGTAGGATCAAACCAGGTTAGTCCTTCAGAAGAGGGAAAGTACCAATGACTAACAGGGCTCTAAATTAGACTGGGAAGTTCAGAACAGAAGAAGGCAAAAGCTCAGGAGAAGAACAGGGGCTACCAAGCTTAGGTTCTCCTGCAGAAAATCCCCTGAAACCCAAGGGTGGTGGTAGAACATCCCTTCCACGTGTCTATGTTGAGATAAACAGGCAAACCCAAGGCAGACAGAAAGGGGCTTCCTGGCAGAGTGCTGCCTCCATGCTCCTAACGGGACAAAGCAGGAGAGCAACAAGCACAAAAGGCCAAAGATACTTGATCACACAGCACGCTCGAAAAGCTACGCGTGAATCGGAAATGGGAAAATGGATAGACAGTTTGATAAACCAGTTGGGAGTGAAACATTTTAATGAGTTCTACATACAGACATTAAACTTGATATACGAGAGTTGTCTCATGGGTGTAGTTCAACCATGGACAAACATGCATTGCCAAGGTTATAAATGTGCTTAAATTGCTCGCATGGGGCTTAAAAGCCTTGAACTTTGGTTAAACCACAAATTATATTGGTGAGATAGGTGTTATGAGCTTGCTCCATGCTTGAAGATTCAACCTGAATTTCTCCATTCCTGGTTCATCATTTCCACCAAGATTGCATTCTGGTTGAATCAGTAACAAGGAACTAGATTGTACCTTTGACGGTCATTAATCAAAATCATAGCTAAAACAACTGACTTGAAAAAAACAAGGGCTGAATTTAGGGGTCCTCCTTACCTCAGGATGTCCTCCAACTTCAATGTATGTGCACATAGGATGAAAAGCCCCAGTTCCGCAGACGTACAAATGGGTCTGGTTATAAGCTTTCAGCACCTTGATGAAGTTAGCACATTCTTTCTGCAGAGGAAAAACAACAAGGCAACACAAAATTTGGATTGCTTTCTCTTCTCTTTTAGTTACGTAAGTCACCCCGAGTAATTTCGAAATTACTTCTACATCAAAAATATGGTTAATATTAATGTATAATATTGTAATTTAATTTAATAATATTACACCTTTACCACTTAATATCATTTGAGGACGCTGTTATATCCCCTTTCCACAAAACTCAAGTTGAATTAAACAAACAAACAAACACCATCAACTCAAATAAAACAATATCATAAGGAACATTTACAACTATGGAAACACAAGATATTTTGAGAGGGAATTTCCTATTGACCAGTTCGTAGGTCTCGCATTTTCTTAGAAAAGTCCCACAAGAACTGGTGGATTTTTAGACTTCATCAAGTCCTTGGCACTTTTAGATTCTTGAATTAAGAAAAAATGTCAGCCCAACACTCAGCATAAAGTTGCTCAGCCACACAAACATGGAAGACTTGAAGGCTGATAGAAGACACGAAGTCTAAGCTGACTCTTGTTTGATAAAGCTGGTAATTAAGTCATGGATTCCTGTTTCTTACTGGACAAATGTCCGGTCAAGGGGGATTTCCATATGAGAATGAGAGCTCATAGAACAAGCATTTTATACAGTGCTCTCTATATCCTTTGACATGTAAGGTAAGTTGAGATTTTGGATACATTCCTATATTCAGCTGTGAGTCCCAAAGAAAGTAAAATGAAATCTGCAAGCCAGGTTGCAGAGCTTTCGTCTTCCAAACCCCAAACTATATAAAGGCAGAAATACATTATTCCCAAGGAAACTAATTGTGGTTCAAAAACTGCCTTCTTTAGATAGTGTATCTTTGTGGGCTTTCTCTGCCAAATGAAGTGGCACAGATGGCAATCAGAAAAAGGGGGTTCAATTTATGGAATGAGCTCCTCACAAAGACATTGTTTTTGCTGCTTCCTCCAGATATTTGAATCACTTTCATAGCTCTGTATTCACTCTGATTTTACATGGCCCCTTCTTGATGCAAGAATAATAGATTTTGTGTTCCCTGTATGATATCCTGGTTGCATGTCATTGATTTATTATTTTTCATCTCATTCTGAAGGTCTTTAGAAAAAAATTAGTTAACAGCACTGCGATCTGCATAGGGGAGCAGATTATTGGATAGATTAAAGAGATAATTAAGAACAGTAACCAAAGATGTGGCTTTCTTTTAAAAACAAGCCATAACCAAAGTCCTATCTGACTTTAGCTGATCTTGTGAAACCAGGTTTTGGAAGTCAGGAACAACACATATCCCAGAATAAGGCCCTGGCAAAACACCTTCCTATCAGTGCATTGCCAGGATCTGCCTTCAAGACACTGGGAGTCCAGCTCAACTCAAAACAGACAACACAAATATTTTACAGCGTTTGCTTTTCAAAAGGTCATGAGTGCTGTTTGGTTTGTGATCTGCATTTTGCCCTCATTCCTTAAGACAAAATCCACAGTAATTCCACCTGTTGGTGAGAAGCTAATTTGTTGGTTGCTTGTCTGCCTTTCCAATTCTTAGGTGGTGATTCACAGACTCCTTACATTTCCATAGCTACGATGAGATCAAACAGACCACAAACAGCATTAGACAGTACACCCTCCCCCTGGCTAGATACTTCCATCAATGCTCTTCTGTTCCTGTCAACAGTTTGGACTTGGTTAATGCCAACACAACTGCATTTGACAGCAAAGTATGCATCCCCACCCAAAATACATCCCCCCTTGGCAATGCACCCTATTTCAGCTATGGATTGTAGGAATAAAAGAGCCAATAGAGTCCTGATTGGGGCTGGTAAGAGGATCAAACTTTCAGCTATTAAATGCATTTATTTACTATTGAAAGTTTCCATTCAATCTCTCATGAATGAAATAGCTTTCCTGTGATTCCCAACTGCTTCCCCTCCCTTAAATTTTCAGCTCTACTGGAGCCCAATAACAACCAAAGCGGCAGACAATAGATGTGGTTCCTTTAGACATGCTTTTATCGAATTGAAAGATTCAGAGATTAACTGATGAAAAAAAAGTTATGGCAACTGTTTCCCCTCCACCATGGTAATCTATTCAAAGGGGCATTTTCTCCCCTTCCTAGCCAAATCAATACCATACAATGCAGTTCTATAAAAGTTAATTCATTCCAATGGCCCAATACAATTAGTCAGTGCTGATTCGTGTGGCAATCAGGGGATCCTTTGCATGAACTGTGGACACTGAACTAAATGTGCGCAGGAGTTCAGTTTTGGTCAAGGCAGACCTTTGCGGAGCCCATACATTGTCGCTTATGAGCATCTCCAATATTACCTGAGTAAAACATTCTTATAAATGACAATGCACAAACATCTCGCCGACATGATTAACTACTTCACTTTCGACCAACCATGTGATTTAGAGTTTTACAGTTATTAAGGATTTTTTAAAAAAAATTATTTATAAGGATGTAAATGGCTTCAACTGATTTGAGGTATAAGAACAGTACCAGCCTTTTAAAATGTGGTTGTCTTCTAGTTGGGTATACCAGCTCCCAGAATTCCCTTGCTAGCATGGCCTGTGCTGAGAATTCTGGGATTTTAGATGTGAAATCTGGTAAAAGTAGGGCATTCTGGTTGGAAAATGCAAATTTGCATTGCAAGTATCCATCTTCTGCATACTGTATATCAGGAGTCCCCAACCCCTGATCTGTGGACCAGTACCGGGCTATGGCATACCAGCAACCGGTCTGAACAAACATGCAAAGCCTGGTCCTCGGTGCCCAAAAGGTTGGGGACCTCTGATCTAAAGAATATTTATAGGGAATCCTGCTTTCCTTAAGGTGAGGAAGGGAGAGACAGAAGTTGCATTATTGTCTTGTCTCCATGTTTGAGGATGATCATGACTGCTGCCCCAGTGGGGCAGAGGAACTATTTTTAGAGAGTGTCTTTCCTGTTATATTGGCCACCAGGATTAGTACATGTCTGCTTTCATTCTTATTAGGAATCATCAGATGTACATAGCCAGATCCTGTTCTGTGGCATTCAAACCTTCCGCCAGGAATTGAATTTGTGAATGATTGCACTGTAGTTATAGAGCATTAGTTTTAAGATTTATCTTAAAAGGGTAAGAGAAGGATTCTAAGTATTGCAATATAAATTGTTGTGGAGTTAATCAATGAAAGATGTCTCTCTATTTCCTGTTCTGTGGAAAGAACAGGATTCACCTACAAAAAATATATATAAAATTACCTAATCAATTGGCAGGTACCCAACTCAGTTTCATTCAATGAAACAAGTTGATTCAGTAATTCAGTTAGAGGATTTGACTTGCAAGGAAGGTTCAGTTAAATCACCTTTAAGCTGAGTTGCCAAATCATATTTTTTTTTACAGCCATACTGTATGTGTCTAGTGATCCAACAGTCATATTCATTGGGAAGCAGAGATCAAAATACACAGATACGATAACCCTATAAATGCAGGTGGGTATTAAACCTAATTACATTTGCATTTGTTACTTGATTGCCAAGTGGCATAAGAAAGCCACCCAGTAGGCAGATATTTCATGAAGATATTGCCAAGACTCAGTGGCTCTGCCAATTTATTAGCATTCTTCCTTTCCCTCCATCAAGCATTGCCATAATGATATTTAGGCATGTCTTAGCTGTGAAATTTGGCATTCAAAATTATTCTCAACGCTTGGGACAAGGTATGTCAGCTTTAGTGCAAAGTATCCGCTCATGTTCTTGGCCGTGAGCCTGGAATGGCTCAGCCTTCTCAAACTGGGTTTTTCCAACTTGGTGACAGCTCCCTGTTGCTGCCTTACCCTCAAGGAAACAGGATATTTGTTCTTAATGGGAAAACTAGTGCCAGCAATACAGAGTGAAATGCTGGCCCAAAGATGTAGACATCAAATGTGCAACATAAAGACAGAATTTTGAAATGCAGGGACACCTGACACAATGCTGGTCTTGAGCCAGGGCACTTCAAACTACCGCCGTCATGGAACTGTGGGATGCTGCAACCAGTCGTAAATTGCATTTTTGGGTTGCCAAACACCCAAAATGCAATTTCATAATTGCATGAGATGTGTGCGGCAACTGTAACTTCAAGGATAAGTTGTACTGTAAGTAGCTTTTTGTGATTTGTAACCTCAAATGATTGTTGAACAATTGGTTATAAAGCAACGACTCAATTCAAGAGCATTGTCATCTTTGAGGATAAGTTAATTTGCCACCAAAATGATGGCTGGCTGGCTGGCTGGATGGATGCATGGCTGGCTGGCTGGATGCATGGATTTGCCTTCTTCCATCTGCAATTAAAAGATGCTCGATGACTGAAATGTCATCATATGATACTAAAATGTCCACAGTGGAACATAATCGATACTCGGCAAGAATTTATTTTAAAAAAGAACACAATTAGATAAGAACACAGCACCTTAAAACTGCCCAAGAACACATCATCTTAAAATCATAGACCAGTGGTGGTGAACCTATGGCACGCATGCTAGAGACGGCACTCGGAGCCCTCTCTGTGGGCACACGCGCCGTCGTCCCAGCGCCGCCTCCCCCCATGGCCCCCTCCTCACCAGCAGCCCCACAGAGGAGAGTCGCCCCCAGGCATGCCCCGCACAGAGCAGTGCAGCCAAGCACATGGAAGCAGGGACAAGACTCCACCCTCGTGCTGTCGCATGCAGATGATGCTGCAGGCGCGGGCGGAAGGTGTGGCTGCCATGGCGCTGCAGGGCCACTGTGGTGGGCCATGAAGGCGGTGGGTGGCCCTGCAAGGTAGGGTGGGTGAGGCCGGGCAGGCCGGGGCCAGAGCAGCGGGGCAGAACGGGGGACGGGGTAGTTTTTGGGCACCCGGTCTCTAAAAGGTTCGCCATCTCTGTCATAGACTGAATCCCAAATAATAGATTCAGTAAATATATGGGCAGCATTCACAGCGTATATTTAGAGCTGACTATATATCAGAGGAAATTTTTCCCAAAGCAGAAAAACAGGAG